GCGAAATTGTAAAATGTAAATAGTGAAAATTTCTGTGGGAAATGGTAAAAAGGAGAAAAAAAATTAACCGCACGCCATTGTCACTGGAGGCACTGAGTCACAAACTGAATAGACACTAGTAGAACACAGTCAGTGAAGCCTGTGGGTCAATTTATAAACTCATTAGCTTCACCATTACAATGGCAGTAGATAGTAATTTTCTCTTACGACTTAAATTGCCAGACCAGAGTATCAGCGGACACCCCAAATCGCGAATTCAATTGTTCAGAAGGGAAAGAATTATTCTTCTCAAAATACAACACCTGAGGGAGTGGACGCACTCTTCGGTTCAATATTGCGAGTCAATAAACAAGAATGGAAAAGCTCTGCATTTTTTTTCTTTTTTTTTCAGTAATACAAAAATATTATTTTTATCTTTCCATTTTGTGCAGAATCAAATTTTTCAAAATTTGGTTTTAATTTCCCAAATTTTTAACTCTCTCCAATTTTAGGCAATTTTTTTTTTAATTTAAATTTTTTTGTTTTTAATTCTAGACAATTAATATTATTTCTTTTTGCAATTTTTTTCTTTTTGTAATTTTTTAAAGCAATTTATTTTTTTCTTTATTAATTCGAGTCAATAATAATTTAATTTTCCATTTCAATTTTCATTATTTCAAGATATCGAGTAACATTCAAGGGCTTTTTGCGGCTGTGATATTTTTAGAGGAATTAATTAACTTTGTGGTATTTTAGCAACACGTGTATTTAAATTTTATTTTTATAGTATCTTTCTCGAGAAAAAATATTCTTTCGTCATTTTTATCTACTATTTCCTGGAAAATATTACTATTATTTTTACTATTCCTACTATTTTTTACTATTCTTACTATTATTTTTACTCTTCCTACTATTATTTTTATTATTCTTACTATTTTTTTTACTATTCTTACCATTACGATATAAAATAATACCAAATAATATTGCAATTGAATAGAAACGAGAACTATTTTGATATGTTTTTTGTCTCAATTTGATAACAATAATAATTTATTTATGACAATTATAATTTGTTCTTATTTTCATTTAGTTAAATTCTAATTTAATTTATTTTAAGTTTAAAAAAGTAAACAAGTTTTTTACTTTACTTTTTAAATTTAAATTCATAACTTATTTTAATTTCCCTACTTTCATGCCTTCCGGAAAATTTGAATTTTTTCTGTTTTGATTTGACAAAATAAATTGTTTATTTTGTGTCAGTGTTGTAAATTTTTTTTTTTTTTTTTTTTTTTTTGAAAAGATTTGTTGCGTCGACTGTACAAATGGCGTTCAGTAATGGGCGACTTCCCTCGATGAGGGCTCGTAGGAAGCTAACTTCAAAGTCACGAGTTATCATTGACAAAAATTACCTCGTAATTGAACTCGTCTTACCGACCCGTTAGACCCAACTTCAATATTTCACGTGATATCGAACACATGTCTTCTCTCACGTAAGAAAAAGTATTCGACGAAAAATTCAATCATTTTTTTCACTCACATTTTTTTTTCCTTTTCTTTCCTCTCATTTTCCCCGATTTCAATATTTTAATTCAAAAATACCGGAAAAATGTTACTTTTTTTCATTTTAATATTGAGTTGACTGTTTTTTGTCGCCTTCAATTTTTTGGCGAAATAAAAATTCGTGACAAAAATTTAAATAATAAATTTTAATTAACATTAGAGATAATTTATCGAAGAAAAAATGAACTCAAATTGCAAGTGCCGAAATTTTTTTTAGTTAAAAACAAAAATACCTACTGTCTTAAAAAAATAAGTTCCGTGTACTAATGACAGTACTGACAGTATAGTAATTAAAACTCTTCTCGTCGAATGTTTCTAAGAGACTAAAAAGATTTTTCTCAGTAGACAATTCGAAAGACAAAAAAAATAAAAAAAGAAAATATAACTTGACTTAGCAATAAATATTCTGGTTTACTTTTTTGTCAAATATGTCGTCAGATTAAACATTTAGTGAATGAAAATGCTATGCAAGATAAGAGCAAAAGGGAACCGCTGCACAAATTTACAGAGAATATGACGCAGAACCTTTTTGGCATGAAAATTATTGCTTCCATCAATGAGAAAAAAAAACAAATTTCAAATTTTCTGATTTTGAAAATTTGAATTTCGCGCCGTTTTGATCTCATTGTTTCTTCAGTGGAAGGCAATTTTCGTTTACTGCGCACTGACTCCGCGCTGAATTGGAACCGCCCTCTCGTGACTCCGAATCATTTTATTGGTTGCTTCGTGACCTTCAAGCCCGTAATGAACAATTTTGTTATTTTTATTCTTAATGTTATATTACATTCTATCATTTTATCGCACTTTTTCTATTTTTTTTAAATTTTATATTGTTTCATTATAAAAAAAAAAATTTAATTTATTATTTTTTATTACTATAACTAATTTATTTGAATAGTTTTCATAGTTTAATGCATAAATATTGATAGTAAATTAATAACAAGAGGAATAATAATACTAATAGCTGTAATAATAATTTTTTCTACAAAAATCTAAAAATAAATTTTTTTCCAAATTTCCTAATTAAATAATTTTTTTCAAGCGCACGTTTTTGAACCAAAAATTGATTCAAGTGGAAGTTGAGATTATAGGCTAAATGCAAATGAAGAATCTCAGAAGTAGATTCACAGACGTCCCATGGGTTCCATGACCCCACGTGGAATGAGCTTTAGTGAATTAGTTAATTTAACGATGCATTACACTGGCTCTAATGCATAAAGAGAGTGATTGCATTTTGGACATATCGTTTGTTCAATTAAGCTTTCTTCCTCTTTAAATTTACTAATCATATTATTCACACTTGATAACAATTTATTTTTATTTATTTTCATTTATTTTTATCTATTTTTATTTATTTTTATATTTATTCTCATTTCTTTATTTCCTATTCTTATTCCATAATTTACATTTATTCTATTTTATTACACTCGAAAAAAGAATTTCAATTCAAATGAATTGTCCATTTCAAAATAGTTTTTTTGTCTCGATTTCGTATTTTCTTCAATTAATTCTGTAATTTCGTTATTGTGAACTGTAATTCATTTAATTCAACAAAAAAAATCCAATTGATATAGAAAAGGGAAATAAGTGGAAAAATTTTCATAAGTGTCTTTTCATTTTACCGCACGAGTAAATTTATGTTCCAATTTAAAAGTAAGAAAATTTACATAAAGTAGAACAAAGTGTGTTTAACCTTGTCGTTATATGGCAGCACTAAATGCAAAGTATCACGAAATAATCAGTAAATGTTTAACGGAAGGTTTAAACATTTACAGTAGATATTAAAAAAAAAATACTAATATTCTCAAACTTCTTGACATTTGGCCATTATTTTAAAAAATGGCGTTCAAAAATCAAATCGTTTTGTATAATTTAAAAATATTTTTAAAAAAATTTTTTTCCATGTACCTAGTTTTTTTTTATTAAGTTTTACTGTTAATTGTAAAATTTATTGAAATATACGAACAGTGTTAAACTTAAATTAATTTAAATATTTAATTACTAATTAAAAAAAATCTTAAATTAATTTGATTCACTAGATAAATTAAAATTGTTTCATAAAAAAATAATGAAATGACATATTTGATTACGTCAATTACAATATTGAGTGATTACAGATTTTTAAAGGTACTAAAAAGAATGAAAACAATACTCTCATTTCCATAGTAATAATAATTGACTGGATAATTAATTCACTACGAGTCTGTCTATAGTAATTTCCACATTTTTGCATTTTGAATGAGAAAGAAAACGGAATGAGTCAATTTCAATGACAGTTGCAATATTTCTTTTTTATCCTCTTTTATTTTCGAATCGAGATAAATAAACGCAGGTCAGTAAACTATACTTTATAAATTCTGTAGATTAATACTGAACATCAAATTCAAACATTTCTGTCAAATCAAAATGATGAATTAAAAAAAAAAAGAAAAAATTAAAAAAAAATCTGTGATAATTAACATTTAACTTAGTGGTTAACATCTGGCTTTACGGTTCAGTAGGTCGCAAGTTCAATTCCCACCAGTGTCAAGATTTTTTTTCGTGTAAATTTTTCTAAAAAAATTTTGAATCATAAAATTAAAAAAAAAAAAAAAACCAAAACTGCGATAATTAACATTTAGCTTAGTGGCTGGCGTCTAGTTCTACTGTTCATTGGGTAGCAAGTTCGATTCCCACCAGTGTCGAGTTTTTTTTCCTATAAATTCTTATAGAAAATTTTTGAATCATAAACTTAAAAAAAAGCGATGAAAACACAAAAAAAGCAGACGGAAAATGAAACAAGTTTTTTTAATTAAATATTCAAATTAGCGATTTGATTAAAGTATAAACTCGAGATGAAGAATGAAAGTGCGAACTTTGACGTTACACTTCCGTCTAAGTGGCAGTCGCGGCACGTAGGAAATACCATTCGGAGCAGAGAGGCAGTAACGTAATCGAGATTTGTCGTGCAAAACCAAGGTCATCATCTCTTTACTAACGATCGAACCGTAGATGATTGTTACATCACCGTGTCGAGACGCATTCATGAGCCTCGTTCTGCTATATAACAAATTTATTAGATTACTCCTGAATTCGATCATCGATTGTCAATATTTTCTAGTGATGATGATGATGATACTGATGATGATGACGTCATCCACTAACCGGTATAAATACATTCTCATCTTTCAAGTGTTATTTCTTTTCATTTTTCTCCCCAAGTCTAAAAAAATTCAGCAAAGAAAAATTTTTTTAAAAAAGTATTTTTTTCTTTCACCTTCTTCGTTTTTCAAAAATCGAAAAAATAATTTACTAAATATTTAATGTAAATAATTTATGAAATATTTGATTATAGAATATTTTATAACAATATTTAATGAAAATAATTAAAATTTTATGACATTTCTTCAAGAATTAAGTTATTTGATGATTGGCTATGGGGAAACATCCAAAGGAATATGGGATTTAAAGAAAGACAACAGTTCGCAGAAAAATATATTTTTTTATAAAATTTTAACAGACTAATAAATATGTAACATTACAAATATATTATACAACAATGACATTGCAGTTCTTTTTGACAGAAATTTCGATTTAGGAAAATACGTGAATACAGGAAAATATGAACGGATCATTAAAAAATGTACAGTCTTTACAAATTTCTAATTTTTGAAACACTATTCAGTATTTTGTGTACTTTTTGTTTTCGTTCTGTACAAAATGAACACACGGTCCAAAAGTAAAAGGTCAGAGAGAATTTGTGATTTTTTTTTAAAACAAAAGTTTAATATCAACAATCAGCCTTTTTCGGAATTAGTTTCATAGGTTCAACACCAATTTCCCTAGCGAACTCCTCGGCGTGTTTAATTTGATTCTCATGATACGCGATACCACCATTAGCATCAACTTTCGCCATCGAATTTCTCTCCGGATCACCAGCGACCATAATCGGCTTCTCATCATCAACGTTCGGAAGATCCCGCAATTGTTGAACGAGTTGCGTCAATCGATCCTTAGATCCTGGACAGAACACTTCCGGATTGATGACAATGAAACAATGTCCCAAATCGGCAGCTTTTTCACTCTTCCTCCAGGCCCTGATATTTGGTCCAAATTGACTACCACTCAAGACACCGCACAAAATCTCCACCATTGTAGCGAGACCATAACCCTTGTAACCCGAATTCTCTTCAGTACCACCGAGAGGCATTAGAAGTGCATTATCATAAGCGACATGAGCATCAGTCGTCGGTTGTCCATTTGCATCCAAAGCCCAACCGTCGGGGATTTTCACCTCCTTTCTCATCGCCAGTTCAATTTTCCCCAAAGCCACTGCCGTTGTCGCCATGTCGAGGACGAATTCTTCATTTTTCGAACCTGCCATACCTAGCGACAGGGGATTTGTGCCGAGACCTGCGCGGGCACTTCGCGTTGGCGCCATTAGGGGACTGGTGTTGGTGCACGTGAAACCGATCATGTTCCGTTGCATTGCCATTTTGGTGTAGTATCCGCAAATTCCGTAGTGATTCGAACCGTTCGCGGTCACCAATCCTATTCCGAATTGTTCCGCTTTGTCGATTGCAAGTTCCATGCAGTATTTTCCGACCACCTGACCCAGAGCGTTGTGTCCACATACTAGAGCCGTGGCCTGTAAACATAAATTGTTGTAAAGCAGGAGATGAAAAATTATTCATTGATCGAACTTTATCATTTCACTAACAACTTTTAATAAAATACTGCTAATGGTCCTAAACTATTACTAGAACGATTCCAATAAAAATCCGAGTCATCAAAATTAATTTAAATCAAAATTAATAAAAAGTAACCACAGCCGATAATCAGCAGAAGATGAAAAATTATTTTTTGATCGAATTTTGTCATTTGTTTATTAACAATTGTTGGTAAATAATTTTTTACTGGTCCTAAACTATTGCTAGAACAATTTCAAAAATTATCCGGGTCAATAGAAACAATTTAATTCAAAATTTCGGAAAAGTAACCTTAGCCGATAATCAGCAGAAGATGAAAAATTATTTCGAGCGAACTTTATCTTCTGTTTACTAACAATTGTTAGTTGCAAAATTTTTTACTGGTCCCAAACTATTGCTAGAACAATTCCAATTAATATCTGGGTCATCAAAATTAATTTAATTTACAATTAATAAAAAGTAACCACTGCCGATAATCGGCAGAAGATGAAAAATTATTTTTTGATCGAAATTTGCCTTTGTTTATAACAATTGTTAATGAACAAATTATTTATTGGTTCTAAACTGTCGCTAGAACATTGAAGTTAATTACATAACTATAATTGAAAAAAATTATTAAACTTTTAAATAATTTTAATTCAAAGTTCTAGAAAATAATTGAATTTTGGAAGAATTACCGCTGAATTGTTTAGAAATATTTAAAAAGTTTTTTAAAAATTTTAATTCCTCTGGAAAAATAAAATTATCAGCAAGTATTTAAATATTTATTCAACAAGATGATTACGCTAAGAAATTCTGAGAAAATTTGTTTTTTTTTTTAATATTTTAATTAAAGTTTTTATCAACATTTTTTAAAAATAATTAAAACAACAAAATTTGTGTTATTCCAAATATCAATTCTTACGCTTTCTATTTCCAACCAGTTTCGAAATTCGAATTAGGTCGTGAAAATTATTTTCATTTTCACAGTACGGACTTTAAAAATTTGTTCCTAACGGTACACAAATATCTTCAGTTCCTCCCGAACATATTCGGATAGACTTAAACTTGAAATACAGAAACAACTTGATTAACACAAGACAAATAACAATAAGAATCATACTTTTAATGACAACAATAACTGATTATAAATTTTTGACCATTTAACTGCAATTAATTAATTAACAACAGTACTGAAAGGATTAAGTAAAAATATGCATCTTTACCTGAAAATCAGTGATAATTTCCGGTTTTGCAGTTGGATCAGTGATTCTCTGATTAATTTCATGAACATACATTGTCATTCGATTTAATCCATGACTGAAATGTCCCCGATAATCAGCAGTCATTAAATGATGTGCAACCGTATCAGCATCCTCGGATGTTGTTCCAGCTTTCTTCATACATTCACTGATAAATCTTTCGACTTCTTCCTTTGGCACAACCATATCAACAATCTTACTCGACGACAATGTCGACATTTCACAATTATTAATAATATCCTGATTAGTAGTTTTTTTCAATAATAAATAATTTGTCGATAATAACGAAGATCTCTCCTCCAGTGCATTAACAACTGAACGAACACTATTCACGTTCCTGAGAAAGTGTCTGAGTGCCATGATGAGAACTGATTGCCTAATCAATCTAAGTTTATAAGAATGGGTTAATCAATTTTTATATTAGAAAAAAGAAGATAAAAAGGGGATAGAGAATTTGTACACTGGAGAGACAATTTGATTTTGTGTGTGTGTGGTTGTACAAATTGTGTCTTATAATCTCGAGGCAACTTGACACTCCCAATAGAATGTAATAACTGAGCACACAAGTTTTATAAGTCTTAATGAATGTTTCTAAGTGTGTGTTTTACGTCATCAATGGAACATTCTAATTTTGAATACAACAAGGGAATTTTCGTTTGATTATTAAATGATAATAGAGATAAATACAAGAATGTATTTTGATAAGAGAGTGACAATAATTGTATTACTATTATTACAATTATTATTGTAGTGCCAGGGAAAATTTATTTCTTATCGAATATTTTTAATTCTCTTTAAACAAATGAAAATTAAATTGGATCGTTATTGGAAAGGGCTTAGAAAAGCTCGATTTTATTCTTACTCTTTACTTTTTGGCGTAAAAATCACATATTTTTATCAATTTAGTGTATTTGGTATCAATTTTACTTCAAAAAAATCAAATTGGTCCAAATTTTAATTTTTATATCAATTTGATGCTTTTGATATCAATTTGACACTTTTTGATATCAGTTGGATCATCTTTGGTAATAATTTGGTGCTTTCAAATAAACTACTATAAAAGAAAATGCTAGTAATTTTTTTTTATTTTTACAGAAAAACAAATTGCTTTATAAACTGAGCAGAATTAATAAAACAAAAAATATTTTTAGGATGACAGAGAAAATTTTCGGATGGTTAATAAGATGCAAAGCTGTTGTTTTTATCTTCTTTTCGAACACATTTTTATATTATTTTAAACCAACTTAACAATGAAATAAGAGCTTTGCATATATCACCACTCAATTAATAAATTAATTATTAGTAGATAAATAATAATAATAAAAATAAATTCTAACATTAATAATAATAGTAATAAGAAGAAGAAGAAGAAGAAGAAGAAGAAGAAGAAAATGAAAAATAAAAAGAAGAAGAAGAAGGTAGTAGATAATAAGAAATAAGTTTCTCCAATTTACAAAAATCACTTTTTATTAAAAAAAAAAAAAAATCTGGATAATTCTGCAATATTTTTGTTACGTTATCACAACTGTTATTTATCGACTAGATTTTAATTTGTACAACTCACTATAAGTGTGACTGTAAATAGTGAAAATGAAAACTAGAGGTCAACGCATCTTTCGCAGGTCTACATGCATGTCTAAGCACTTTTTAGTCGTTAATCATTTTGACCTTCGTATTTAAAAAGGAAAAAAAATTGTTTAATGCGTAAAAATTATTTATTAACGATAAACAACGTCGAACGAAACGTATATCTAATATTCCACAAATCACGTGTAAATTTAACCGCATACACTGTTTTGAATTCAAATAATAATAAGTTTTCAATTATTTTCTACATATAGTCCGTGTATTAAATTTCCACTTCATCAACAGATAAAAATATTGATTGACATCTTGGAAAATTCAATTGACTAATTTCAATCAAAATATTATCACTGTGATCAATTTTTAATGTGGAGGACAAAATTTTATTTTTTTTCGTTTTTTTTTATTTTTTAATATAAAAAAAATGATCTCATGTTGTAAATAAATAAATAAATAATAGCAAAATTAGCAAGTACTGAGTATTTTAATGTTAAAATTAGTAAAAGTATTTAAATAATAAATTAGTTAAAGTATTTTAATAATGAATTAGTAAAAGTATTTTAATTATAAATCTAAAATAGTAATTTTTTTTTTAAATTTTTATGTGTGAAGAAATTTTTTATTATTAAAAAACACTTTTTATTACCGTAATTATAAATAAAATAATAATGAATACAAAATTATATTAGAGACTTAATAGTTTATGTTTATTAATTATCCACATAATAGTTTTTTAATGAAGGCTTTTGTTATTACTTATTAAATAGTTATAAATTATTACTTTTAAAACAGTTAATACAGTGAATATTATTAATAATTGTAATAATTTTATTATTATTATTATTATTATTATTAATTTATTTATTTACTCTTTAATAATTAGTTTATTACGTTTTTTCTTTTTTTTTGTTCTCTTTTTTTGTTTCATTTTGTATCATTTTATTTAATATTTTTCATAAAAACGATAAAAGTTTATTACCAAAATTTTCTTAATTTAAATAATGAAAATATTTAAATTAATGTAAAAATTTCTTTTTTACATTTTTTTTTTTTTTTTTGGTAATAAAGAAGAAATTGAATTTCTCTCTTTATTCATTATCAAAAATTAACTGTCGATAAAATGGAAAATATCCGACAGACGTCGCTAGACGATGGTGTGATATAATTTGAGCGGGATTTTTAAATAATTGACAATATTATTTTATTATTAATTTAATGATTTCTTCAACAAAAATTTTATTGAAAAATTTCTATGATAACTATTAGGAGTATTTTGAAAATTTTTCGAAACTTTAAGATAATAGAAAATAATCGTTAATAATCTCTCTGAGAGGTCGAACTAGAAATGTTGCACTTGAGGTAATTTTATATAAAGTTGACCTAATTTTTACTCGCACTCAAAAATAACTAACCAATCAAAATTAGTTTATTCCATCTCTCATAGAAAATGCATTTTGAAATATCTTGACACATGAAAGAATTATTATTTTTAAACATTATAAATTTATAAAATTAAAAAATTATAATACCTATAATTTATAATTTTTTAAGAATTTTGAAGAATTTAAAAAAAAAATATTTTTCTAAACTTTGGTTGTGAAATTATAGTTAATTAATTCGATTATTATAAATATGTGTGAAAAAAATTATTATTCCCGTCAATCATCTCCATTTGATCGTGTTTACACGCACAATTAAAATAATTTCATTTCAATATAATTACAATAAATTATAATATATTTTCCGTTTCATCGAATGACCTAATTTCAGTCTCTATTGTTTTAAGCTGAATATTTTTTTAATGTCAATTTTTTTAACGAAAAATGTTATATAATAAGAAGACGTGTTTTTGTAATTCGAAAAAATAGTCTTTTTCGAAAAATTAATTTATGAAAAATTTAATATTAAAATTATTATTATTAATATTAATTATTAAAATTATTATTATTAATTACTAAAATTATATTTACTATTAAAATTTGAAAATTAAGTTTTAAAATTTGGAAATTAAAATTGAATAGTAAAATTTGGAAATTAATTACTGCAATTAATTATAATTAGAAATAAAGTCATTGAAATTAAATATTAAAATATAAAAATAAAATTAAATATTTTTAAACATAACCTTACTTTTAAAAACGAGAGAATTCATAAAACGTGTCAATAACCTTTCTGAATATGTTTATAAATTACAAGATTGGCAAAAAATCTCAGTTAATTACATACGTACCCAATTAATTATTACTGAAAAAAAATTGGTCCTAATTTAACACTAGTTTCAAATTTTACTGACAAAAAAAAGAAAAAAATTTCTCTACTTGAGTACTTATTTTTAATAATAATAATAATAATATAACTGTTACTGACATTCACCACAGTTTACGCTTCAAATTATTCTGATGAATTATTCGCATTTTAAATTGCATTAAATTAAAATGCAAAACTGATATTAATTATTAAAAAAAAATTTTTTAATATCTAAATTATTATTGTAAATATCGAGATAATTTATTAGTAGTTGAAATTTTTTTTTTTTTGTCAGGGAAATACAAGTTCCTTTTGTTATAAACATTTTCAATGGTGCGTTTGGCAAAATGATAAATATGCAATTACGGTGATTTTTCAAACAAAACAAAAAATATATATATCACACAATTATAATTGCTTCTAATTAGAATATATTAGAAGAATGTCAAATACTTTTTTTATGAGGTGGTTAAAATAATTGCAGACTTTGCTATTATTTTTTAATAACTCAAGACAATTAAAATTGGAAATGAAAATAAATTTTAAATGAACTAATGTACGTTGAATGAAAGATATGTAAATAAAATGAAAAATTAATAAAATAAACAAATGGAAAATAAAATAATTAAATTAAAAAAAATACAAAATTAATTTTTTATGTATAAAAATATAAAAAAATATAAATAACATAATATAAAAAATAAAAATAAAAGAAATAAAATTAACAAATATACATAACAAACACAATTTTTCTAAGGATAACAAATTAAAACAAAAAACGAATCAAAACGTTGCTTCGCAACATTTTTGCTTCGTTTCTTGTCACAATTTGATATCCTTAGAAAAGACTGTGATAATTAAATTAAGTATAAAAAATAATTAATTACTTTTTATGCCCGTGAAAATTTGAATAAAAAAAATAAATAAAAAATTAAATAAACAAAAATGAATGAACAAAATAAAAAAAAAATAAAATTAAAAAATGTTTTCATTTTTTGATTTTATTTTTTTCGAAAAAATTTTTTTTGTTGAACTTGAAGAAACTATGTTTTTCGAAAGTTAATAGTCATATTGTAAATTCTATTTTGATTAAAAAGCTCCCCATCGAAGACACGATAAAATTACGTCTGGAAACGAAAAAGGTCAGAGTTCAATACTCATGATAACAAAAATACTCGTTTACAAACTATAGTTCAAAACTCGACACTAATAAATTCAAACTTTCATTTATATATATATATACATGTGTATATGTAGATTTTTTTTCCGCAACAAAATTGAAAACAAAAAGTTTTTTTTTTCTCCGCAAAATTGTTTAAAATTTAATATAATGCTGTTTTGGTCAATAATTAAATTTATGTCCCAAAAATATTGAACGTTCAAAAAACCACCAATATTTTTTCTTTCTACTGTCAATTTTATTAAACAAATATTATTTTCTATATTAAAAAAATTGTTAATTTTAAAAAATGTTATATTTGTATTTGTTTTTTTAAATTTTAAATAAAATTTTATAAAATTTAAAAAATTTTCAATTCAGTATATAATTTTAGATTTTATGATAAATAAAATTTTTTAATTAAAATTTTTTTTTCTGTTTGGAATTTTGAATATAAATAATTAAAATTAAGAATACATATTACTTATAAACAAAGGTGCAAAACAATTTTTTATTTTCAAATTATGACACCCGTTGACAGTATAATATCTGGATAATAACAGTTTGAGAAGCAATAAAATCTGAAAGTGCATTATAAATGGAACACAATTAACTATATGATCATGTGACTCTGTTATAGTAGAGAAAAATTTTTTTTCGAAAACGCAAATAGCAAATACAAGTCTAAGTCATTTACAAACATTTCTCCTTATAAAATACAAATACATAAAAAAAAATTTTTTTTGAAACAATATTTCATAACGATTTTTTTTTTTTTTTTTTTTGAAACTTCTTAAGTCAATAGTGAAATCCAATGATAATCGGATTTACAATACACTTTTTGAATTACGTCACTTACGAATATGACACACATATATATCAGTTTTCCTTCATTACACCTCGGTATTAATAATAATAAATATTTATTTGTTTTTGAGTAAAAAAAAAATTGTTTTTTAATTTTTATTTCAATATTAATATTTATGAGGAATAATTTTACTATTTAACATTCAGGAAAAAATATGTTTTATTGTCAGAGTCTACTGAACTTATATTGGGTTCAAAGAAAATTTATTTGTTTCGAATGAATATTTTTTTGCGGTTCAAATAAAAATTTCGTGTCGAATAAATTGTTTTGCGGTTCAAATAATTATTTTTACCTTATTTAGGCTTTATTGTAATATTATAACTTTATTATAATAAATAATTATTATTAATATTAAAGACATAAATAATTTTTTTTAACTCAATTCAATTTTTTCGATCTTTTCCAATTTTTCAATAATATTTTTTCGAATATTGACAAAAAGAAAAAGAATATCGAATGGTCGATATTACAAGTGAAAAAAAAGTGTCGCTAATACTGAGATTTTTCTCAAAAAATGCCAATGTTCTATATTTGTTAGCCGGAGGTAAAGCTGCCGTCTAAAAATAGTGACGAAAATAGAACTTTTATGAAAATCTGAGTTCCTTTCTTCAAAAGAAATCATAATAAAAAATTAATTATCATTCGAGTAATAATCTTCAATGTAATAAATATATTAAAAGTATAACTGAAAATTAAAATTTTTTTGCATTGCGCCAATTTTGCTCGCATACAAATTACATCGAGACAATTAATTATTTCCAATATCGAGGATTTGATAGAAATTTAATAGTAACTATAACTTAATTAGCTAAACTTAATTAACTAAGAGTATTATAATAATTAAACTTCTAATTGACTTTATAGTAAGCAAATTAAATTTATACTTTTGTAATACAATTTTTTATTTATTTTGTATTTAATTTTTATAAGCAAAAATATATTACATTCTAAAAATTTTTTTTAATAATAATAATAATGTTACGATTAAATATTACAATAAATAAAAGTAATAAATTTTTATTTACTAATCAGTAAAAAATTAATTAAAAAACTTGTATTAGGTACACTAAATAAAAAATAAAATAAAAGAAATAAAATAAAAAAAAAATAAATAAAATGAAATAAAAAAGAAAGAAATAATAAAGGCAACAAAATAAATTAAGATTATAACAATAAAAATTAGTAAATTAAAAAAAGGAAAGCATAACTTTATATTCAACGAATTAATAATTAATAAAAATGAATTAAAAAAATATATAATTAACTCACCAAAGTATTTTGATAACCCCAAGAATTACTCTCGTCTCCTTCGCCAGTTAAATGCATTTTTGTGCGTTTTCTTGAAATTAAATTTCACAGGGAGAAAAAAAACCTTTTTATCAATCACTCGGTAATTTTTTTTTCTTTTTTAAAATATAATAATTCTCACGACAAAACACAGTCACTTAAAAATTGTATTATTATTAAATTGTAATTTTGTTGAAAACCACCTTATTAACACCTGCATTTTGCGATTTGCGCATTTCCATTTTTTGCGCTCGCTAAATAATAATGATGATGGTGATGATGATGAACTCATTTGAAGTGAATGTTTCACGCACAAAATTTCGTCGACTGAAAGAAAAACGATTTTAAATTCACTATTTAGATTTTTGTTCTTATCAGCAGTTGGGAACTCAAGTTCATCTGCATCTCAGTCTTTTCAAATAGATAACAACACTCTTCGTTTTATGTGTATCAAATAAAAAAAGAGCTTTTTATTCACCTTGGACGACATTTTTATTTTTTTTTGTTAAATTAATTTTTTAATTTTTTTAATTAATTGTTTTTTATTTATTAATTACGAAAGTCGCAATAATATTTAAAAAAATGAAATATATTAACAAACATTACAAATTTCAAAGAAAAATTTTGTATTTTATTTATTTTTTAAAATACTGTTTTTATTGGTTTTAATTCATTTTATTAAAATTTTGTTTATAAACTGAATTTGTTTTAATTAATTATATTATCAATTAAATGAATATTCATTAACGTTTCTATTAATTAAATATGTTTCAACTTCTAAAAAATTATAATTTATTTATTTAATTACTATCGTATAATAATTTATTATAATATTATAATAATAATTATTGTAGGAAATGGCATTTTTTTTTGAAGCCCGTTTACTACTAAAAAAATTAATTAAAATTTTTATATAATTATTTATAAATTTTGTTATAAAAAAAATCTTTACTCTATAATAATTTATAATAATAATAATAATAATGATAATAATAATAATAAAAACAATATTTTTTGAGAGGAGAAGGTGATTATTTGTAACTAATTGAACAAATTAATCTACTTATGGAAAAATGAGACAAAAATTAAAAATTATAATCAAAAGGATAAAATTAGAAAAAATTAATAAATAAAATATAAATGAAGGAAAGATTCTTTTTTTTTTTAGTAAATTGAATTGATTTTGGCATCATGAATTTATTTAATGATCTCATGAATTCTTAGGATGAAAAACCTGCTTAGCAATTTCAATTTAAAGACTTTGTTGTTTGCTCGCCGTTTTTATCTAACAAGAATTTTTTTTCCTTTCTTTTATTTAATAAAATGAATAGATTTTTAGGAAATATGTTTATTGAAATTCTTAAAAAGATATTACAAATATAAATATTGGTTATACGATTTCTCATTATAAATGCTGATAATCACGTGATTTTAAAAAAAAAGTGGAATGATGTAAAGAGATTATAATAAATTTTTGCTACATATAGTTAAATATAACATTTCTTTTTTCCCAATGTAAGTATTTTAGTTTAAAAAAAAATTAAAGAAAAAAAATTTTTTTCATTAAAAAATTTATGACAAAATTGTTTAAAAAATTATTTATCAGTAAAAAAAAGTTAATTATTAGTTAAAAAATATGGAAATGATAAAAAATATTTTTTTTTCAAAACATATAATTTGTTAATAATAAATATAAATTTGTAAATAACAATTACAAACATTCAGTTGTTGATAAATAAATAATTCAAAATGTTTTTTGAAGAAAAATATTCAAAAACAATTTTTTAATCTTTTTTTATTTTATTTCTTTTAATTATTAGAAAATAATTAGCAATTTTTCTATTTATTATAATTAATTAATTTTTTCATTTTCATTTTTTCTACTTATATTTTTATATTAAATTTTGTATAATAATTGTTTTTTTATTCTAACAATTAAAATTATTTTTACTATTATGATTATTATTATTATTATTATTATTATTATTATTATTATTATTATTATTATTATATTTTTATTATAATTATATAATTATTATTACCATTGATAATATTTTTCTCATTAATTTCTATTATATTTAAAACTTTGAAATTAATTTATTATAATAATTAATTAGTTACTAACTGTCAGTGAACAACAATTTGGTTTATTATTATAAACAAATTTCTGTTGTAAATCAGAAAATAATTTTATAATAAGTGTTTGAATAAATAAATAAATAAATTTACTGATTAATTAGTAATATAATATAAAATTTTAAATCATGTAAAATATAATGTCAAATACTAATTAATTAACTAATAATAAGTTAAATTATGTAATTAGATTATTCAGAAAAGCATTAATTTTTCATAGCAATTATACAACGTAATTAAATAATTATTATACAATATTATATTGTTTACTTTGTTTTTTATTAATTTTGTTTCATTTATTTATTACTTTTATTAATTAAAAGAATAATTTCATTTTTCTAGTAACGATGATAATGAAAATTTTTTTATTGTCAATAATAATATGAACTTTAGAAAAAGAAAAAGAAATTTTCGCAGAGAAAAAAATCACCAATTATAGGAAAGAAAAATGGATCAAATTGATTTCCGCAAATTGTGTTATCATTGCGATAAACGCACGTTTTTTATGACACCTTCGATAATTTCTGATAATAATAAATAATGACTTCCGGTTTCTAAGCATTTTCTCAAACTCAATGTAATTTTCATCGAAGATAACAAATCATATGAAGGTTAAAGAGAGACGATTTTTTTTTCTTTTTCGATTATTATTAGGTATTATAAACAATGGAGCTCTGTGTGCAGTAAAAGAAATTTTTTTTGATTCGTCACATTTATAATCGATTACTTGACTATTATGAAATAAATATTTAATTGATAAATTAAATATTCATTTGTATCAAACATTTGGTTTCATATCTAGATAAAATATAGAAATTACGTCAATTAAATTCTATTTATTTTTATTTTCTTTTTTATTTCATTCATTTAATTGATAAATATTTATTTGTATTAGACATTTGGTTAAATGTTTAGATAAAATATAAATAAATGAAAAAAATAAAAATTACAACAATTAAATTCTGTTTGTTTATTATTTTTATTTTCTTTTTTTCAATTTTATTTTTATTTCAATATTTAGTTTATAGTGAAAATTGCTTGTTGCTAATAATAAAGAAAAATATAAATAAAAAAATATCTATTTGAGTTAAAAATACATTTTTGTCTATTACCTACGTTTATTTTCGTTTTGACTTAAAATAAAAATTGTTTTTATTTTAAAGATTGACTGAAAATAAAAAAACCTAGTAATAAACAAAAATATTAAAAGTTAACAGAAAATATAAAAAAATATTTAAAAAATAGAAATGAAGAAGAAAATAAAATTATTATTTGATAATAGTCAAGAAAGTGATGAATTTTATTAGATGGAACATTTTTTTCGTTTCTTTTTCTCAAATGTGTGACTATTAACCTTGAAAATGGCACAACCTTGGTCTTTGGACATGGAACATTTTTAATAGAATTTCGAATGTCACGTGGTTAAATAATCCGCTACCACTTTTCATTCAAGGAAGACAACTTTCTTGAAATTTTTGACGATAGAGAATACCGGCAAAAGAGAGTGAGATACACTTTATATTTATTATTGTCTACAACCGTCTGTCCGGCAGGACGGTCGTGAAGCGACTGATATAGGTGTTTGAATGAGGCTCCGTGATTTCTGCGGTTTACACGGAAAATGTAAAAAAAAATCTTGAGACTCTGTCGGATTGTAAAAAAAATACAATTTCTCGTCTATGTCTATAAAAAAAGGGGGAAATCCAATAGAAGTTCATTTTGTTTTTTTCACAATTTTTAGTATATTTAAAAATAAAAATAAGAGAATCATTTCGTATTACTTTCGCGGAACATGAAATTGAAGATGTCTGCGGGAATTGAATTTCGCAAAATTATAGAAAATTTATACATTTTTTTTCTATAATGTACGAGTATTTTTATTTTACAGTCAGTTGTCCCAATTATCAAGTTTTCATTGTATTTGATAAAAAAAAAATTTTTCGAATAGATTTTTGATGAAATAGTTCCAAAAAAATATTTTGTACTCACTTCACTGGAACCTCGATTATTGATACAGTTAAAAAAAAGGAATCAAATTACAGAGGTTTCGCATTATTGAATTTTTTCTTATTTTTTAGCCAATTTTTACTATTATTATTATATATTAAAAAAATTTTTGTTTATTCACTTCAGTATAAACTCGAGTATTGAGATCATCAAGAAAAAGTGTCTCAATTATAAAGGTTCGAGTGTATTTAATTTTTCCAAATTTTATTATTTTATTTTTACAATTAGATATTATTATTATTTTTACTATTATATTAAAATAAATTTTTGAAAATAATTAAAATTTACAAAGAATTTTATTAAAAACTCCTGAGGACAATTGAATAGTTTAGAAAAATTTTATTACAATTTTTAAAAATAATTGAATTTCTCAGAAACATTTTATTATTTATGAAAATAATTGAATTGTTTCGAAGAATTTTTTGAAAATAATTGAATTTTTTGAAGGAATTTTATTAAAAAATTTGAAAATAATGATTTTTTAAAAAGAATTTGATCAAAATTGTTGAAAATAATTGAATTTATATTGAAATTCCTGAAAATAGTCGAATTTATTTAATATTTTTAAAAATAATTGTATTCTTTCGAGAAATTTTATTTAAATTTAAATATTAAAATAAATATTTTTTGTTCTCGATTTTTGAGACAAACTAGAAAGCAGTCCCAATTATTCAGGTTCCAGTGTATTTTATTTTAACTGCACGGAAAAAATTTCGGGCGCGCATCCGTATTACCTATGGTAATGCTGTTCTACCTTATCCCTGGTGCATAAGGAGAACAAGAGTGGGAACTAATCGCTCTCACGAGTGGGAGCCTCAGAGTCCCACAGCTGAGAAAGAATATACTTTAGACAAGTATATATATTACGTATACAGAAAAGCTGTTCTACACCACATGCAGAGGGCTCTGGGCTCTGCCTTTGGTAGTTCCACTTTATCTCTGTGGGACTCCTCAGCTCCCACAATGAGAACGCAGATATCTCACTCTTAGAACATCGGCGTTCTTTCATTTAGCACTGCAATCGTACGCGTAGGTAATGCTGCGCGCCCGAAATTTTTTCCGTGTGAAAAAAATATCAAATTGAATTTCATGACAATTTTTAGCATAAAATTATTCTTTCTGAAATAATTAAAAATTTAATTTAAAAAATTTGTAATCAAATAAAAGTATTATTTGTAATATTTAAAATATTGTAAAATTGTTAAATGAATAAAAATTAGTTTAATGCAAACAATAGGGATATATGAGGTAATGAATTATGAATCAGTGAATATATAGAATTTGAAATTTACGATAATAGGCAAAGGAAAAAAAATGACACGAGTTGCATGATAATTTTAACATTAAACGAGAATTTAACATTTATTTAAAGTCACATGATTCTAAACGATCACAAGATCTTTCTCAAACTTGTTAATGAAAGTAAATCCAAAGTTCAATTTGAAAACTTTCCTCAAAATTCTTGAAATTATTTAATAGTTAATGTGAGGCGGAAAATATCGATAATTATTATTTGCTATTAATTCCATAACAATTATATTAAAAATAAATAATTTTTTTAATTATTGGGAAGTATAAAATAAGTAAAAAATAAAAATACTTACTCTCAAAATATTTTAGAAGTATTAAAAAAAATTCTAAGAGTATTTTAAACGTATTTGGATAGTAAAAAATATTTTAAATAATACTCTAAATGGTGAGTAAACAATCAAAAAAAAATCTTTGGTAAAACGAAAAAAATTTTCATTTGTATGCAAAAATTCGTAACAATAAAGTACATAAGAGATAAGAGAACCAGAAAAATGTTAAAAATAGAAACGTTTATTTAATTATCTTTTTCACCTAGAAACATTTCTATACAAAAATACTTTGAAGATATACAAGATCTATAACTTTAATTTACAGGAATAAATTCCAAAATAATTTTCTTTCATCTCTATAATCAAGAATCAAGACAATCTCGTAAAAATTCTTTTCCATTTCATTTATAAAATTAACAAGCATTATTTATAACAATTAATACGAAAGCAAACATGTTTCACACAATTTTTTTTACTGTTTTACAATGAAAATTAATTTTCTGTTAAAAACAATTATTATGAGATGGTCCCTTAATTCTTGAAAAATATTTTGTGCCATTATTTACTCAGTCGATTAAAATTATATTATAGAGGATATATAGAAATATTATAAAGAGGAAAAAAAATATATAAGAATTAAAATAAGAAATATTTTTTCTTTTAAGTAAATTGAAAGCAGTACAGAAATATATAATATATATTAAATATCAAACTTACAATAATGTTCTTTTTTTCTTATATTTGTGTGAAACAAAAATTGTCTCCCCCCAAAAAAAAATGTAGAAATCTTTGGGAAATTATTAACAAATTATTAACAAAAAACTGGTTTTTTGTCCAAAATGGAAAATTAGATTCTATTTCTTCCATTTTGGAACCACACCATCTCAAAATTCTTTCTAATTATTGTTTTTTTCGTGCACGTTTGGCACTTTTCAAAAAACAAAGTCTCAAAAATATAATTCCATTTCTAAACCAATTTTTTTTTTCGTTAAAAACTTACATTTTAGAGAGACACAATTGTTTTCTTGTTGATTTTTTCTTTTTTTCTTTTTTCATTTTTCATTTCGATGGAGTTCCTAATTTTTGTTATTAGGAGAAGAATCGTCGCTCGGCAGACACGATACTGAAAATTTGAAAATGTATTTATTTTTAATATTTAAATTCTGTAAGTGAATAAATTTAATTAGATATTATAAAAAATACTAAATTATTTATTTAGTATTTTTTGACTAAATAAATTTTAACTTTTTAATATTTTAATTATTTTTGGAATTTATTTTTTTCAAGCTTGAATTATTTTTTTGGTCTCTAATAAAAAATTTCTTAAAAACTACTTTTTCGTCAAATTTCTAAGAGTTTCTCTGAAATACTGACCGATAATAATGATGAGAATAACGACTGCAATTGTGCCAATAATGATCATCATTTTGAGATTTTTCCACCAATATTTTCGTTTTAATTTCCCCGCTTGCTGCTCGAATTGACTGGCACCAACTTGCAATGCGTCCGCTCGACTATTTAATTCGGAAAGTTTTTGATCTCTTTCTAAAACTTTGTCTACATTTACTTTCATTATTCCCACGACCTCATCAACTTTAGCCTGCGTTTGCTGTAACTTTTTGCCCGATTGATTTTGTCCATTTCTCGAGCCTCCCAATTCTCCGTCTCCAGAATATCCACCTCCCTCCATAATAAATCTGTACAAAAAAAGAATAATTTCATTTTTAAATCAATTCATTATTTTTATTATAAAAATTTAATTTTTTATATTTTTTTCAAATTTATAATATTTATAATATTGAATTTTAAACAATTAGAATGCAAAAATTCTAAGAATTATTTTTTTCAAAAATATTTTAATATAATTTTTAAAAGCTAATTTTTATTAATTACCATTTTTTAATTTACACTTGAAGATTATTCATTAAAATTTTAGAGAAATCAATTATTTTCAAAATTTGCAATTTAAAAAAAAACAATTATTTTCAATTAAATTTTACATTATTTCATTTATTGAAACTCTTTTTAATTGTAAATTTTGAAAATTTAATTAGAAAAAATATTAAAAAATAATTTTTGTTTTCATAATTAAAATTTAATTGTATCAATAATTTATATACTGATTTTAATATAGAGAAAAAAATGTATTTGGTTCAAATAAACTTTGTGTATTAGCAAATATTTATTTCTATCAAATAAGACAATTAATAATAATAGTAATAAAAATTATAATAATAATAAAGTTCTTAATAATTTTAAACATTAAAATTTGCAGTTAATTTATTAATTTTAATAATTATTACAAAATTAATATATTAGAGTACATTAATTAATGTCTGTGCATTAATTAATGTATATTAATTAATGTCTAATCCAGTACATAACGTATAATATTAATTACATAATTGATATAATTTTACTCCAAAAATGCAGTGACTTTATTTTTTGCAAAAAAAAATTGCTAAAACTTCAGAATATTAAGGAGAAGATTTAAGAAAATTTACATGTAGTGCCTTAACAATCACATGTCCTTAAGGGTTTAGAAATATTTTTAAAAAAAAATATATGTATACTTTACAACTATAATAAAGACAATTTCAGAGACAATTATAAAGAAAAATTGTAAAACAATTCCTAATTCAAACAAATTTCTGTTTAGAATATCAACAACATAAAGACACTTAAATAGCATAATTATTCGCGACGTGACAACTAATTTTAAATAGTCTTTAAAATTTTTTCAAAAAGAAAAAGTTGTACACGCCCATAACCTCAAAATAAGAAACTCAATAAAATAACCTGAATTTCGTATCAATATTGTAAATATTAGAAATTAATAAAATGCAACTGAAAAATTGAACATTACACTAAGAATCCTGTACATTGTACTATTTTTATTCGTTATCAAATACCGGATATTAAGCCTGTTTGACATTTCATTATAAAATATCAACATGTAAAAATTTGAGAATATTTCATTTGTTTTTGTTTGTCTACAATTACTTGAATACACTTGTGTTTTAAAATACTTACGTGAAACTTTTTAAAAACGAGAAAAACACAATTTATCTTGAATAATTCAAGTAACTAATCTTTCTTTCTTTCCTTTTTTTTTTATTAATTAATTTGTTTCAACGATGACGAAGATACCAGAAGACACGAATACCAAGACAAGTCACAAATAACGGAAGTGATTGAAAATATGGCAACACTGTAATAGAAAGAAAACTGGAGGCCATGGAGGTAAAAAAGTTTTTTTTTCTTTTTCTTTGTATTTAAAAATTTATATATAATGCAGTGGGGTTTTTAAATATTTCCTTGATAGTTTCCTTTTGGAAAAATGTTTATAATTACAATTATTTAGGATTTCTTAAAAGTTTTCTTAGGTGTTTATTTCATTTTTAGGTAATGAAGAAAACTGCATTGCCTTCGATAAAGAGAAAAAGCCTCTTAATTTTTAATGTCATATGGAAAATGTCAAGTTTCTTTCAAATTTTGATTATTAACTGTTGATTATTTTAGGGAAATTGAATTTTTTTAGTGGAACAGGAATTTTGATGTTTTGTTTGTAGGTTTACATTGATGTACTACGGGTTGCATACAATTCTCCTGCAAAGATGCAACCAATCTTGCTTCTGCTTGAATATAAAAATTGAAGAATTTAATTTCCAATCGAGAAATGTATTTTCAAAAATTCAAAATGGCCGATGCAATATGTCAGACAAATTTTTAAATGTCCTCTTTATTTACCTAAAACTAGTTCCTTGGAGGTTTTTTACCTCGTTCATTATGAATTGAGTATCGAACTTTCAAAATTCAAAATGGTGGATTCAATATGGCGGATGAATTTTAAAAAAACATTCGAATTTTTCGATAATTTTAGATTTTTTACCAAAGAGTCGAGACTATTAAATAAGTAAAGTATTTTCCATGAGCACAAAAATAATGAAACTAAATGCCATAAAAGAGAGAAAAAAATGATGAATTTTAAGAAATTCGGATTTTTGAATTTTTGATAATTTTCGATAATTTTAGATTTTTTACCAAAGAGTCGAGACTTTTTAATAAGTAAAGTATTTTTGAAGAGCACAAAAATAATGAAGCTAAATCCCATAAAAAAGAGAAAAAAATGATGAATTTTAAGAAATTCGGATTTTTGAATTTTTGATAATTTTCGATAATTTTAGATTTTTTACCAAAGAGTCGAGACTATTAAATAAGTAAAGTATTTTTAAAGAGCCCAAAAATATTGAAGCTAAATGTCATAAAAGAGGAGAAAAAATGTTGAATTTTAAGAAATTCGGATTTTTGAATTTTTGATAATTTTCGATAATTTTAGATTTTTTACCAAAGAGTCGAGACTATTAAATAAGTAAAGTATTTTCCATGAGCACAAAAATAATGAAACTAAATGCCATAAAAGAGAGAAAAAAATGATGAATTTTAAGAAATTCGGATTTTTGAATTTTTGATAATTTTCGATAATTTTAGATTTTTTACCAAAGAGTCGAGACTTTTTAATAAGTAAAGTATTTTTGAAGAGCACAAAAATAATGAAGCTAAATCCCATAAAAAAGAGAAAAAAATGATGAATTTTAAGAAATTCGGATTTTTGAATTTTTGATAATTTTCGATAATTTTAGATTTTTTACCAAAGAGTCGAGACTATTAAATAAGTAAAGTATTTTTAAAGAGCCCAAAAATATTGAAGCTAAATGTCATAAAAGAGGAGAAAAAATGTTGAATTTTAAGAAATTCGGATTTTTGAATTTTTGATAAATTTTGATAATTTTCGATTTTTTACCAAAGGATGGAGATTATTCTATTTATGTAAAGTGTTTTTAAAGAGCCCAAAAATTGAAATGTTGACAATTTTTTTTAGATTTTTGAAAAATAATTGAATTTCTCCAAAGAATTTTATCAATTTTGAAAATAATTGAGTTCTTGTAATGATTTATTGTTATTTATGAAAATAATTGAATTTTACAATAAATTTTATAAAATTTTCTGAATATAATTGCAAATTTCCACGAATAATTTTGCTACTTATAAATATAATTATAATATAGTTAACAAGAATTTTTAAAAAAAAGTTTTGATAATAATTGAAGTTCTCGAAAGAATTTTAATATTCATTAATAGATAGTTGAATTCCTTTAAAGAATTGCGTTAAAAATGTTTAAAATTGAAACTAATTTGAACAGAATTGAAATTAAAATCTTTCAAAAATCCTCTCGTTCTGCATGAAACTCGTTATTACTCCAAGATTCTTATAATCGCTAAAAACGTTAAAGAAGTTTACAAAAATTGTTGTTTAAAGTAAATTGTCTTCTGTTTAATTTTAAAAACAATGAAAAATGCTAAATTTCTCAATTGAACGTAAGTTCAATTAAGAATGTTAGCATTTTTAATTGTTTTTATAATGTTGATTAGTATCTTTGAGGGTGAACCACCTTAAAAAAAACAATCGCCCATCAGAAACCGAAAATAAATTCTCATTCTCGAATTACAACCCGCAAGTCTCTTTCATTCAAGGTAAACTTCCTCCCACACAGAATTATAACAACCTTTCCATGCGTCCAACAATCCTCCCACTCAACTTATGTGTATTTTATATCAACCCTCTCGACAAAATTGGCTTTAAAAAAAAAAAAAAAAAAAAAAAAAATTTCCTCTATTATCTATATTTAAGAAACTTATTTTCTCTCTTCTACTCACTTTCACTCCTCGCCATTGTCGTCGATTCAAAGCCGATTTTCCCAAGTACAATATAATTACCACTGATTTCCATTGTCACTTTCTTATATTTCTCCATTTCGTTAATTTTAAGGGTGGTAGAATGCTACAAATAAAATATGTAGCATTCCTACTTGGCGCTCGTGTATCGAAGAAATGATATGCGCCAAAGCGCAAGGACTTGGGCGGACCCTGTTTATTGACTGAGGGCGTTCGCGCTTGCGCCCAATTAACCACCGACAAAAACTACCCTCTACAAACTCTAGTTCGAGGCGTCGCTACCGAACAATTTTATTTCGATCGCATCCGTAGTTGCATTGCGATAAAGCGCATTTCCTGTCTCTCTCTCTCTCTCTCTCATTTTCGCTTAAAATTATTCTTAAAATTCTCCCAAAGAAAAATTTATCCCCCAGTGTAAAAAAGAAAAATTCTCTCTCACAAGTGGTATACATTCTAATTAGTTTTTCCTTACCGTGAGTATTTATAGTTTTTGGTTCCATAATCGATTTCTTTTTTTTCTTTTTTGAAATTTCCCGCGCCTACTACCCTTGTGGGCGAAGAAATAAACGCGACGTCGCGCTTTTAATGCCCGACAGTGGCTGGAAAATTTATCAATACCAGCGCACCTAGTCGACGACAGGGTCGCTTCGAGAGTCCGCGCTCCAATTAAAAGCGCCTTTAAAAAACCAGAAAAAAACAGGGACGAAAACATGTGAGTAAAAACTGGTTGAAAAAAAGTGATGTTTTATTCTAAATTAAGATATTGACCTACTATCATTTTAATTTAAAGAAATCATTTCTAAATGTTTGATAATGTGTCTATTCGCGCTTCGCACCCTCTTTATTGGTTTTTCCGACTTGTTCTCTCATATATGTATATATTGACGTTTGTCGCTTTTTCATCGTGTCCTGCTTTCCAATCGCGTTACTCGATTAAATTTTTTTTATTTCGTTATTATTATTTAAAAAAAAATTTAGTGGGAGTGAAGTTTTTCACGTGAAGTTGGCTACAAAAAAAAGAGAGAGAGAAGGGTAGGGGTAGAAAGAAAGGTTGGTGTTTCCCTTTTTTCCTTTCTCTCTTTCTCTCTTTCTCTCTCTCTTTATATTTGGGGAGAAAACATCGATTGGTGAAGGTGCCATTCGGATTGGGGGTAGAGTATAGCGTGCGTTTTCCCACTTTTCCACTAGATTATCGATATCGTTGATGAAATGTGAAATTTTCTAATTTTCCAAAAAAAGTGGATTTTTTTCGCAATTTTGAGATATGTCTGACAAAGGGTATGATATTTTTACTCTAATACTTTTTTTCACATTTTATTCACTGTTTTTCATAAATTTATCAGTTTTTAACAAAAAAGAATATATTTTCATCAGTTTTCTATTTTATTATTTTATTATTGTAATACAATATTGTAATATAATAATTATAATTATATAAAATTTATCGTGGATAAAGATTTTTAATTTAATAATTTTATTTTCTTTGAATTTGATTATTTTAATTTTATTTTAATTATTATATTTATGGTTTTTATTTCTACTATTCTAATTATTGTAATATAATAATAATAATTTTTTATTATTAATAACAATATAAATAATAATAATTATAACAAGAGCGATCATTTCCACATAACCTTGGATTTAATCCAGGTATCTGAATTTAAAGATTTTTCACTTCTGACTACAAAAAAGTAAATAAATTATAATTATTATCATAATTATTCTAATTATTATTTTTATCATTTTCATTATTTGCTCTTTATAAAAACCGTTTGATTAATTATTTAACATTAAAAAGGACCAAATACGAAATTGGCCTTTTTAATAAAAAATAATTAATTTAAAAAGATGAACGTTTTTTATAGACTTTTGTTTATATCAGAAAGCTGAAATTTATTATTATTTTTATTGTTATTATTATAGTTACTTTCATTGTTATTATTATGTGTATTGAGCACAATGAATTATATTAATTGTCCAGTGTAATCCTGATTTTTAATTTTCTTTTTAAAAATAATACAGTTATTATTATTATTATTTTATATTAAAAGAAGATGTTATAATTACAATAGTTATTATTATAATCAATTCAAATTAATATTATTATTAATTTGTATTTTTTTGTCGTTATAAAAAAAAATTATTATATTACAACTGTATCACAAAAATAATAATACAATAGATAACTGATGAAAATATATTCTTTTTTGTTAAAAACTTATTATTATTATTTATTTATTTTTTTATATAAAAATAAAAAAAATAAAATTATTATTTATAATAATTTTTATTAGTATTATTATTATCGACGTTATTTTATTGTATTCCGTTGAATTTATTATAAACATTATACTTTATTATTTATAAATTTTCATCGAGCAACTTACTCATAAGTAAAACAGAGGCAATAGTGAATCGATCGGGTAAATAAAATTAAAGTGCATTATATTTATTAATAAAAAAAACCGAAGTGCGACATTCGTAAATTGTTATTTTTTGCAAGTAAATATTGATTATTTTTTATTTATTTCAAAATGTGTGTTTACAAAATGATTTTTTAAAAAATGTAAAGAAAATTTATAAACTTGTGGAAAATAAAATTTTATTTTAATTTCTGTTAAAAAAAATCGAAAATTTTTTTTTAAATTAATGCAATTAAATTGATAAAATTTAAACGTTTTAATAATTTTTTTCTTAAATTTTAATTTCATATATAAAAAAAATATAGGTGAAAAAATATAAAAATATACTAAATTTCACATAAGTTTTTTTTCACATAAGTTTAGTATTTTTTATATCAAAATTTCGATTTGTCGCATTTTACCCCAAATTATAGAAATGTAAGAATATAAAAATGTAAAAAGATAGAGGAAAAAAAATTGTACCTGGAACAGCAATAAATTTCTCTGGAATAGCAAAAGTTTTAACTGAAATAACTAAAAATTTCGCTAATACAGTGATTTCGCTAATTTGCAATTGATCTGGGAAAAATTTTTTTTCAGTGTAAAAATACAGAAATGTAAAAATTAAAATATTGAAATATAAAAATATAGAAACAAAAGTAAAAAAAGTATAAAAATATAAAATTGCTTTTAAAATTGCATAAATAAAATTAAAAGAAAGACTTCTTAAAGTTGCCAATATTGATGTTTAGCAAATGACAGTAAAAAATAGTACTTTTTGTCATTTTACGACAATTTATGACATAAATGAAGTTTCGCGAAAAAAAGTATTAAACTGTGAGGTCATATATTACTTTTTATGAACGCGAACAATGAAAAATCACATAGAATCTTGCATCCTCTGTTTAAGTTCATTTTTGTTGCAAATCAAGTTGATACACTTGTATAAAATTTATCAAATTTCAGTTTTGAATTTATATTTTTCTCTATGATATTTATACAATAATTTTCTTTTTATCATTTATGACAATTGAGTAATAAATTCTAAAGAATTTTAAAACGTTTTTTGAGTTCTTCAAAAATCCAGGATACTTTATATTATTGTTACTATATTATTTTTGCTGCATTGTTATTTTAACTGCTACTATTGTTATTAATATTATTATTATTATTATTATTATTATTATTATTATTATTATTAATTTTTCTCTTCATTTATAATATTTATTTCTATAATCTAACATTTATTTATATTTATTTATATACCTTAATCTCTATTCACTCATTTATTTATAAAATTTAATATTTATTTATTTTGTAAATTAATATTCAGCATAAATTTTTTCCTATTTACGTTTTGTTACTAATTTAAACAATTAGCTCATTAAAAAACGAAACTTTTCTATAATCTACTTTTGTCTTCTTTTTTTGTTAATATTTTTGCAAAAAATTTAATTAAAAAATCTTTTTTTTGCCACTTCTTTCATTACACAATATTTATTCATTGTAGAAAAAAGTAAGTCATTCTTGACGTCATAGATTGATACATTCTTCGAAAATAATTGAAACTGCCCTGCCCACGCCAGTCACAATATATTTTTATTTCTTAAATGTAGATAAACTATTTTATTCTTTTTATTTTTAATTTTCGGAAAAGGAATTATAAATTACTTTTCGTTTAATTTATAAAGTTTAATTTATTATAGTAAAAATTAAAAAATTAAAAAATATTTATCATTAAATAAATTAAAATAAAAAAAAATAGAAGAGCAAAAAGGCAGAAAAAATTAATTTGGTTGAAAAATGTCAGTTTTTTTTAATTTAGCGATGCAAAATGTCCAAAGGAGAAAATTTCGAAAAAAATTAAAGAAAAAAGATCGAAAGACACATATTTTAAGCAGTAAATTTCTTAGAGCTTTGTTAAAAAATCGATTTTCTTATTCATTGTCAGAACAGAGGAATTTCCAATAGTTCAACGAAGCTAAAACTTTCTGTCTCCACCCAAAATATACAATTAAATAATATATTTTTAAAACTTATTTAAAATTCACTTTTTTTATTATATTTTTACATTACTTTTCATTACATTTTTTATGTACATAACAGACGTAAAATTAATTATAAATTATAAATTAATTTTTTATTGTCTTAAAATAATATAACAACAAAATATCACCCCCATGAAATTTAACACTTCTTTTATTTATATTTTTCTTTACTAAAAATTCTTCATGAATTTCAATTAATCATAAAGCAAAGAGAAAAGTTATCAGCATTTTAATACATATTCAATTCTATATTCCGAGAAATCCGAGCTCAATTCTAATTAAATGGAAAGAAAAAAAATATTTCCAATATTCTCTCTCAAAAAAAAAAAAAAATTTGAAAAAAAATCAATTCTACTTCAAGTCTTATTTCTTTATAGCAGAATCAGAATGCAAGGCACAAAAATTAAATTTTTCCTATAGATTTAATTTTTCTTCTTCCCTAAGTCCTTTACCCTTAATAACTTAAAATTAAAGTCAGAAACACCTACACATCGTCGCAAAGAAGTGGAGTAAATCCTCAAATTCAATATATAGTTCATATGTATTGTGCCCGCATTTCTATATTTAGATAATCAATGGACAACCGCAAGTTTGCACAAATGTTTGACTTAGCACTAAATTTAAATGGAAAAAAATTGCTTCCGCCATTGTAGACTTTCAATTATATTGCGACATAATTGATAGTGTTTCTAGAGTGAAAAATTTATGAGTTTCCTTTTTTTTTACTTTAAAAAAAAAATTCCATAAAAATTTCATTCCTCACTTCAATGTAAATGATTTAGAATTTATTTTTTATTTACAAATTAATAAAATTATTATTTTTTTTATTTAAAACTTAATAATAATTATTATTTTTCTATTTAAAACTTAATAAAATTATTATTTTTTATTTAAAAATTAATAAATTTTTAGAGAACTAAAAAATGCGCTTTCTTTGAAATTAAATAAAAAATTATTACTTCAATTTATATGTTAAATTTTATCCTCAAACAGAATATTTATAAGAGTCGTGTAATTTTGATAACAGTGGTAAAAGACAGTTTTCATCAGACTCAGAAGCTTTTTTAATTAAAGTATAAGTAGTTAATGTGATTTATAGTCAGACTTTCTTTTTAGAATTTTTGTCAGTAGTAAAAGTTCGCTTTAGTCAGACAAGCTTTGATTTTGATTTTACAATCAGTAGTAAAGGTCGGTTTCGGTCAGACAATTTTTCTAAAATCTTATTTTATTACGGTCATTATATTAATGTAAAAAAAATAATTATAATAAAATAATAATAAAAAAGAGAAATAATTTTTTTTCAATTTATAATTTTTTTTATTATTTATTTTATTTTAGCACTTATTATAAGAAAGGGGCTTTATTTTATAATCGGTTAATTCTTTTAAATATAAGAAGTAAATAATAAGAAAAGTAATAATACTTAGGTAATGATAATAATAATGATGATAATAATAATAATAATAATAATAAAAATAATAATATTTACTTAAATCCTAGTGAGAAAATATTCGTCATTAAAAAAAATGTGCGCAGGAAAATAAAGATTTTTTCCAGAATTCTATTTCTACCAAAATAGTTCGTCTCCTTAAGAAATGTAAATTTGCTTTACACGTACATTCTACTTAAATGATTGATATTTCTAAAGCCATATTTTGTTTACATACCCCGTTTTCTTGAGCGACTATACTCTTAATGATGGTAATGAATTTTCCTAAGTGTACGCCTTATCGATTCAAAAACTTAATTATAAAATATTGATATAAACTGACAATTTTTCATTCTCACCAATCAAAAACTAATCAAATTTTTAATAACAAAAAACGAAATAGATTTTTCACATTATTAAAAAGTCAATTTTCTTTTAAATTCCAGAGAAAAAAGTAATTTTTTCAAATTCATATTCGTCATATTTTTCTTTTCAATTTTTTAACATTTCCTATATTTTTCCGACAAGCACGTTTTTCACTATATTTTTCCATCACGTAACAATTGATTATTGTATAAGTTAACGCGACGTAAAAAGTATTTCTTAAGAAAATTGAGTTAATTTAATAATAAAAAAAAAACAAACAAACAAACAAACTTTGTTGTGAAAATAAAATAATAATCTAATGAAAAAATGAAGAAAAATATAATCTCTCGGTAAAATTTGTCTCAGTAATTGTAAATATGACAATTGTTTTCATTTTACGAGAGAATTTTATTTTTCTATCGTACAATCATAAAATTCTTATTAACTGCGTGAAATTTCAAATCTTATTTTTTTCATCCCTGTAGTAAAATAATTCGTATAAATAATATATAAACTTGTATCTCAAAAATATAATATTGCCAGAGGCATGTTGATTCGATATACACTATTTATACGAATAACGCAATTTCATTGATACATTTTCGTTCAGAATTTTTTCACTATTATTATGTGAATGGAATAAAATAAATACATGCAATCGTAAATGTACTACAATCTTCAAAATAATTCGAAAAAAATGATTAGCAAGAAATTTCTATAGACTTTTGATAATTTTTTTTAATGATAATAAACTAAAAATATAAAAAATTAATTATAAAACTTCTAAATGTTACACCTTAACTTTTAATTTTTATTACAAACAGTAAGTTGTAAAATATATTACAGAGAAGGAAATTTAAAATATATTTTACTCCTATTAATTTATGAAATAACTTCGTAAAACAATTTTCACTCTAATATTTTGCAAATCTAATTAAAGTGATGCAATTTCTTGTCAAACGATTAAAAAATATGCATTAAATTTTATTATGTTGTAAAGTTATATAATCAATGACCAGATAGTAAAATTGAATCAATATTGGGGTTCAATATTGGCGCCTAATATTGTCAAGGTCCATAGAAATTTCTTGCTAGATTCAATCATTGCAAACTATTGGTTACAGTGTGCAATGATTGAAAGGGAAATTGAACTATTTATCATTTTCAATTGTTTAATATTCTGTCGATAGTTTTCTTCTACTGATTTTTAATAAGTTTTCCTTTTGGAAAATATTTACTTTTAGCATAAGCCAATGATTTTTATTGAAAGATTTTTTTATTATTATTCTTCTACTGATTTTTAATAAGTTTTCCTTTTGGAAAATGTTCTAATGTCGATAGTTTTCTTCTACTGATTTTTAATAAGTTTTCCACTTGGAAAATTTGTACTCGTAGCATAACCCATAATGATCTTTATCCACTTTTTCCTCACTGGAATGTTTTTCTTTTTCGTTTGCCACTTTTCTATTTTCCTCAACCTCTTAACCTGTGGCATTCAAAGAATATTATAGTTTATTCCGGGAAATATCGCCTTTTTCGACATTTGAGGAAAAAGAAAAATGAAGAAAAAAGTAATGTAAACAGAAGATCTGCTTAACTGGGGGATGTGTATCAGATATTCGATTTTGAGGTGAAACTCATCGTGATGATTCGAGAGGGAGAAGGAGAGAGAGTATAGCTAGAACTGGGACGCGAACTCTGGCCTTTCGTGTCATTGGTCTCTGACACCGCGCAGAAAAGGGATTATAAACCCTTGCCTAGGAAACGCAGACAACCCGGAAAACAATTTTCTTCTTCCTCTTTTTCACTCCCACAATCCCACGCACTATTTATTTATAATTAACGCATCGTAATTTTTGACTGACATTTTCAAAGATGCGTGTGTCAGGCTCTCTAACAAATGAAACGCCCACTATCGTTAGAGGCGTAGAGTTACATTTTATTACCATTTCCTCTTTATCTTCTTTTAGCTTAAACAAAATATTTCCTTCGAAATACGTTGTCAATAAAAACTAAACCTATTTCTGTTTCCACCAAAATCTTAGAAAACATTTCTCTAATCTTTATCGTAAAGAAAAATGATTCTGGATTTTCGAAAATGGAAAAGGAGAGAGAAACTAAAAGATTTGTATTTTTTGTAGGGCATCAGAAGGTGGGCTTGCGCCAGATGCAGCAGGAGGTGCAGGTAGCGATGGAATCGTCGGAGGTCCAAGAACACCCCAACAGATCGCATCGCAAAAGCGATTGCAGCAAACGCAAGCGCAGGTCGACGAAGTCGTCGATATTATGAAAACAAATGTCGAAAAAGTTCTCGAACGTGATCAAAAATTATCGGAACTTGACGATCGAGCAGGTAAATTTTCTTGAAAAATTTCTAATCTCCTAAAAGAAGGAAACGATTATATATTCCCAAAAGGCTCTTGTGGATTCGTGAATTCTATCAAACTGAGTTTCTTGGCCTACATTAGTAGCCTATTTACTAACGACGATCATAGAAAATATCGATTACTTCCCAACCTGCCTTTTTAAGTTTAAAAAGGCAAAAAAAAATGCCTCAATCAATAAATATTTAGTAATAAAAATCGCCACACGATGTCTAAAAATTAACGTTTCCATCTGTATATCCTACTACTTCTGTATATTCAAAAATATCCAAAACAAATTTTAGTATTTTATATTTTTTTAGTGTTGACCAGAATAATTATATAAAATTTTCCTCTATTGGTCATGTAATTCTTTTTATTTACTAGAACATAAGGACAAAATTTACCACATCATTTAATTTAATTTTTTAAGGTTAATGTCTCGAATCATTGTTTAAAAAATGTTCTCCGTTATTTAAATAAGTTCTTGTCTTAAATATAAAAATTTAATTATTGTACCTAAATATTAAAAGAATCTCAGTAAAAATTTAAAAAAGTAAAATTATAATAAGAATATTAGTATTTATTTTCATAAATAAATAATATTCTTTCTGCATTTAGATGCGTTACAACAAGGAGCCTCACAATTTGAACAACAGGCTGGAAAATTAAAAAGGAAGTTCTGGTTACAAAATCTAAAGGTGAAGAAAATTTTTAAACTAAAAGAATTTACTAAATAAGCTAAAAATTATCGATAATAATCTTGCGAAATCCCAGGCCTTGGATCGACTTTAAGGCACAAAAAAGTCCATTTAAAATAGAAAAACAGTCGAAAAAGTCGTTTATATAATTCAGTGTTGTCACAAAATTTTTTTAATTTTTTACCAAATTTCTATTTAATACCTTTTGAAATTTAATAACTTCTAAAAATTAAGACTGTAATTCTCTTAAAATTCAATTTATTTTCTACAATTTTTATTTAAACTTTTTCTCGAAATCAATTATTTTTAATAAATTTCCGAAAATTTTTAGAGAATTCAATTATTTAAATTCAAAAATTCAGTTTTTTACAATAATTGTACTTGTCCATGTTTTTTAAGTTATTAATTAATTTTCAAAAAATTATAGTAAATTCTTAAAATTAATTTCTTTGAAATATTTTAAAAATAATTCATGAAAGATAATAGTTTTCCAATTATAAGCAATTGATACAATTGAAATTTGATAAATTCTATTTAAAAATAATTGAATTTTTGAAGAATTTTAATTATTAATAAAAACGTGATTTCTCTACAATATTAATAAATCTAAAAAAGTAAATTTAAAAAAATTTTAATTTACTTTGTTCAAAGTTAATTGAATAAAAAAATTAAGATAAAAAAAATTACAAGAAAAAGCTTTTTTTGGTAATTTTACGAAACAAATTGAATTTCTTAAAAGAATTTTTGTATAATTTTAGTAAAATAATTTTTTGAAGAATTTTGATTAAAAATTTTGAACATGATTATGTTAAAATGCTAAAAATAATTGCAAACAATTTCAATGTTATTATTTTTTGTATGTAGATTGAATTTTTGGAAATTTGTATTTGAAAATATTGGAAATAATTGAATTTTAAAAAATTAGAATGCAAAAATTCTAAGAATTATTTTTTTCAAAAATATTTTTATATAATTTTTAGAAGCTAATTTTTATTAATTACCATTTTCAAAATTTACACTTGAAGATTTTTCATTAAAATTTTTGAGAAATCAATTATTTTCAATTAAATTTTACATTATTTCAATTATTAAAACTCTATTTAATTGCTAATTTTGAAAATTTAATTAGAAAAATTATTAAAAAATCATTTTTGACGATTTTTCTATTAGTTATTTTTTTAACACTATTTAAAAATCGAAATAAGTTGCATTTTATACTAAAAATTATTGCAATATTTGGAAGAAAAGTCGAAAAAGTCGTAATTTTTAAAAATAAGTCGAAAAAAGTCGAATTTTTTGAAAATAGTCGAAAAAATCGAAAAAATAATATCCGAGGCCTGAAATTCGTAAAAAATATAAAATTGGCTAGTGCATGAAAAATTGCATACTAACGATATAAAATTAATTTCAGATGATGATAATTATGGGAGTCATCGCGTTGATTATATTAGCCATCATTGTTTGTAAGTAATCATTTTATAATTTTTAAAGCTATAAATACTGCCACTTAATTGTTTGATGTCAAAAAATAAATGTTTTGTGTACGTCGATGTATCTCGCCGTACTTTCAAACGACAAATTCAGGACCAATCGATTCAAATTTATTTAAAAAATTTCAATTTTTACTTAATTAAAAAAAATTTATAAACCTTTTCTATAAAATAAATTCTTTATTTATAATTTACTTTTTTATATTTTACAAATTTATTAATGTCTCTAAATGTAAAAAATGCATATATTTTCCGAATAATCTGCGGTATTAATTCATTTTCTTCTACTGATTTTTAATAAGATTATTTATTAATGACCATAAATATAAGACACGAAAATCTATTTTTAAAAAACATTTTTAATTTTGAATTTAAAAATTGTAATTACGTCTTGAATTCGTCGTCTCTTTGCTATCATTCTGTTCTAATCTATACATCTTCTGTGCTCATAAAGGACTCAAAATGTATGCACGATGTAAAAACTAAAAGTAATGCTATTAATTACAATAAGGAAAAAAGCAAAATTATCTCTTAGCATTGCAAACGCTAAATGGTTCGCTTAATAACTTCATTTCAAATGTGCAATTTTTTATAATTACGGAAAATTTTTATCGTTATTACATTCTATGCGCTAAACAATTTTTTTTCATAAAAATAATTTAATATCCATATAGAGCAGGCAATAAAAGATTTACATATATATGCAAGAGATAAAAATTCAGAAATAAAAATAGAAAACAAAGAATAGTTTAAAAATGGAAAACATTTCATGAGAGATTAAATAATATATGTGTAAAATTTTGAACAGTTTAGAAAATTAGTAATCTAGAAGAATTAATAATAATGAATTAATTAATAATGAATTAACTAATAATTAAATTATAATTAACTTAGCCTAGAATTTAATATTAAAGTTTATCTTTATGATTTATAATTTATTTCCAATTTTGTCATTGAATTAACATTAATATTCAAAAATTAAATTATTTCGTATGAATTATTTTTGAGTCCTCTATTAATATCTTTTTAAATGTTCGATTTAAGCATTTAACATTTTTTTAAATTTAAAACTACTTTTTCAATTTATAGCATTTGCTATATAATTATTTAAAATTCCTTTTTACTGATATAATTACATTGAATTGCAATCAATTATTATGACAAAAGTGATTATCCAAAGGGACCACCACTCATCATTTGGTTAGATGTACATTTATATTTAATTATTTAAAATATAAACATTTTGCTGTAAAATAATTTAAATTTTCTGACTTTACATTTTAGGATTACAATTTTAATTGAAAGTAAAAAATTATATAATTTTATGATCTCATTTCTAGATAAATTACAACAATCGTAATGTGAAATTAAACATATTTTCGTTATGCAACAATAACATCCAACCCTGTCTGTTAATATTTAACAATAAGCGAAATATTTCCCTCTACCTTCAAAACTGTTATGTAAAATATGAATTAATTCAAATATGCAGCTAATCATATCAATTAAATTAATCTTTTTCTATTGTGTAATTATTTAATATAAATTTATCATTTATTTTGATTCTCAAAATCTGTGGAATTAAATGTGTACATTAAAAACTTGACGAGTGGTGAGATCCCTGAGACAGTATAATTTAAAATTTATTAACAGAACAAAACACAAAAAAAAGTTCTATTCGAATTAGATAAAGAAAATTGAATTTGTCATAAAGAAAGATGACAATAATGATGATTCGTGCCAATCATTTCTAACGTGTATAACTTTCTATGTTTCGTTTAGCGAAATTCATGTAGGCGCGCTGATGATTGGTGGAAGAAATTTGTTGTGTGAGTGAGTCAGGTAGCAAACGCGATATTGTGTTTCTATGTAGTCTGTTGAAAAACTTGAACTGATGTTACCGATTTTTCAGTTACAATTATTTTCGTTGAAAAGCATTTTCTTTTAGGAGACACTCAATCGATGTTTATTATATCCTTGTGTTTGTATAGGTTTGCTAATGTACTGTTACTATCTATCTGTATTCTTCACAAAAAAAACTCCTTTCAAATTTTAACAAAAAAATTAATCTCAAACATAAATTTCTATTTAAATTCTCAATTTAAAAATTCAAGTTAGAAATTAAATTTAATAACTCAAATGAAAAATTTAAATTAGAATCCAATTTAAACAGTTTAATATTTAGTGTTTATTAATCAAACTAATATTTTTAGTGAAAGTATAATAATCGTTTCTTCTATTAATCGTTAATAAGTTTTTTTCAACTAATAGTTTCTTCTACTAATCTTCAATAAGTTTTTCGAAAAAATGATTTCTTCTACTAATCTTTAATAAGTTTTTTAAAAATACAAATTTTTAAATTATTTTTACAAATTTAACTTTATTGAGATAATTTTAAATTGACGTAAAATTGCAATAAGATAAATTAAAATTCTGAAAGAAAATCGTAATGATTTTAGTGAAAAAGAATAATGTTCAAGAAACACTTTTCTCAAAATTGAAAAAGAAAAATCAAATTCCAAAAAGAATACGATTTTACAGTTTTACGACTCTTTCCAGCCTAAACTTAAAATGTTGTTATGTGTCTGTCTGTTGTATTGTCGTGGTTCCCTGTTTTACGAAGCTTGTCCCAGGAGATCTAAACATGTATATAAACTATGGGATTCAAAATATAAATACTCGTTTTGAGTTTAAAAATCAATCAAGTATTTTTCTTATCAAACATTTTTTAAAAAACTGAAAAAGTAGCGTCGTTTGTGTGTGATGTACTCTAGGGTCTTACGCGCAGTATGGTAAGAGTGGGGGTAGCGAGCAAAGTCCAATCGGAATACGCCCTCCCCCACTCTTTTTTCTACTGCGCGCGCACGTTATTTTTAATGTCAACACAAAAACGACGCCTCTGCTTATATATTTTGTTCTAAAACTATTTTAATTATAGATATTATTATAAAATAGTAGAAAAACAAAATTATTACTTTTACTGATGCAAATAAAGATTTATCTATTTAAAATAAAAAATTATTTAAGAGTTAAAAAATATTTTGAACCCATAGGAATATATTTCATGAACTAACTGAACCACAGTACATCGACAATATATTGAACTCTTAAACAATGCACAACACTATTATTAACTGTATTAAAAAAACAGTGTCTTGCTGACATTTTATTTCGATATTTCTACTTTCTGATTCTACTTGACTACGGTAAGCTTACATTCTATATTTTTGCATACTATCGATTTTTTTACTCTTTTTTCCTCTCTCTCTTTCTTCTTTACTATTATACGACTTCTACCAACTTGGCGGATTCTCTTTCACTTCTATTTGACAATGAACAAATAATATTCACTTTGCATTGTTCTATTTTTTTATGTTAATGCAACTGGATACAAGGTCCTTGTGCTATAATTTAATAATAAAAACCATGTCCTTTATGGTTTTAAACAAAACTGTTATTATGGTTTTTTTCATAAATCTTTCAAAGAACTTTTTTTTTTGTTTTGAAGAAAAAATCATTCTAACGTAATTATTCACTTGTTATTAAATTATTTTTTAAAATTCAAATAGGGTTTTTTCATAATTTTCTAATGTAAAGAAAATTATTTTCGGCAATTAAATTATCCGCTTAGAAAGAATAAGTGGATAGTTTATAATAAATAATTTTATCATAAACAATTATATCACCTTTGACTGCCTTTGAATTTCTCTCCGAGATGCTTTTCTTTCTCTCTCTAAACATTTTTTTTTGTCTTTTCAATGGATTTTTCAAGTGAATTTTTAACTTATTTAGTGTTTTACTTTTCTTTGAATTGTTTTTTAAACAATAATATTAACGACTTTGTACGACTGCACAATTTTTCATTGCCCGTTTAAGTAAATAAAGGAAACAAAAATATGAAATTTTAAACAATTTAAAAACAAGTTTAGAAGTACAAAAAAAATAATTCGTAGAGAGTATGAAAATATTTACAATTTAATTCTTTTGATTAAATAGGAAATATTTTCAAATTATCTTTAATGTTGTTTTAAAAATTAAAAACTAATAAATTCACAAGAAAAATCCAAATTTTATTTTGCATGACTTTCTTATCTTTAGACTCTGCGATTAAATTTTTTTGTTATTACTTCTATAATCTGTAAAAGACAATTCAACAAGAAAAAACTCTAATACACTAAAATAGCAATTAATAATTATAATTATAATTGTAATTATAGTTATAGTCATAATAATAATAATAATAATACTAATAATAATAAAAATAATAATAATAGTAATATTAATAATAATATTAATATTTATATAATATTAAATAAAAACAACGAAATTTGAATCTGGGACGATCTTCAAGCTTCGACTCTGGCTTTTTCCAGTGAGCAACAAAATGTTTGCATGGCTTGGATTTTGAAAATTACTATGACAATAAGATTTGAAAATTGCTATTGTGTTTTTTTGCATTTTGATAATTATTATAGTTCTCTTGCATGGAATGTAAGTTTTAATAAATTTATAAATATTATTTATCACTAAATCTAAGAACAAAAATTATTTTTAACTTTTAGCAATATTGAATTTTTTTAATATTAAACGTTTTCTCTTATTAAATACAAAATTTTATATTTTGGAAAATTTATGTTATAAAATTTCAGTTAAATTTAAAACTTAATTTTTCAATGGAAGTAAAATTGCATGATATTATTCTATTTTTTTTTTTATTTTAATTGTTACCTATTTTTTGTCAAAAACAATATTATTTTTATTAGAATCAGAATTTAAAATTAAGAAAAAATAAATTATTTTCAGTTTGGGAGAAATATTGTTTCTAACTCGACTACAGTTTTAGAAAAATAATACAAACAAAAATAGAAATATAAAAGAAAATGTTTTGTTTTCAAAAAATTGCAAATTTTTTTCTTTAAATTGAAATAAAATAATAATAAAATCTATGCTAAAAAGTAAATAAAAATAAAGAA